AATACAGAGAGAGGCACAAGGTGTATTTGTTTTTTCCAGACACACAGTCAAGACTGTCTTGATCACGTCGCTATCAGACAGCAGCTTTTATGTATTGGAGACCAGCATGAAAGAGCAACTTCAAAAGCAAGACGCAGCGCTGCAACGGCTACAACGGCTACAACTGTATAGCAGGAATGGGTTGAGTGTGACCAATGGCGGGGCCCCGTCCTCAAGAGTCATCAGGAGGAGAAAAAGATTACTGGTGCTAATGAGCACGAGAGGACCTCAAGTACAGAAATTCAAAGTGAGAAGATGATTGAGATAGACATTCTTCTGCTATAAGGGTGAAAAAGGAAAAAAAAAGAAAAAAAATCAATGATCATTTCCATAGACTCCAGTGAGGGAGTTGGAGTGATAACTGTGCATTACAATGGGCCCGCAGTGTAATGAGAGCAGGGATCAATACTTGGCACATTCGTGCTGGTGTTTGCCCTGCTGTTGGCCAACAAAGCCGCGGTAATTAAGAAGTCTACCCTCAATTCAAATACCTTACAGCTTAGCTCCTATGCTCCTTGAAATATCCGTTTAACGCGAGTGCGCTCTGAATAATTGGGTGCCATGGTTATTTGTATTCTGATGTAAGCTCAATAACTGCAGAAATAAATTAGTTTTAGTTTAAAAACACACAAAAAAATCCATGTAGTAATGAGATAGACAAATAAGCCTCTGGGAATTTCCAATTATTTGACAGGACAAAAGTCCAATAATTTCAAAAGACAGAGTTTCGTCAAGTGATCAATTTATATTTGGGCAGCAGCAGTTAATACATATTCACTGCAGAAGACCATCAATTTAGCTGTATTTTTTCTGTCTCAACTGAGTCACAGGAATTAAACTTTCATATTCTCATTATGAAACTATAATCAGAAGAATTGGGGGATTTTCTGGGTTTTGCAGATGCAGAGATTAGCAAAGTTGCAAATGGTTCTGAAACTGGGGGAAGCTAATTGGGATTTAGTGTGCGCACACAGGACTGCAGGGCTGTCAAGGGCCAAGATAATCAAACTAGCCTGCTGTGACGAGACAAAAGAAAAGAAGCAGCAGGAACTATAGAGTCAAAAATAAGTTAAGCTCTGAATTGATCTCAGAGCAATGGGAATCCAACAAGCTGCTCCAAAATATATCTCCAATCTGTACAGAACAAGCAGTGTAACTAGTGCATATTATCATGGACAGACTGTTATTAATGGTTGATCAAGCTCTACCAAAGAAGAGACAGTAAAGGAACAACAGCGCAAAATAAACCCCGGTCATGTAGTCAAACTGCTCCTGGCAAGAAAATATCTCTTGTAACTATGTATAATGTATTTATTAGACTGCTTTAGTCTAATGTTCAAAGTAATACAAGCCTCCCTTACAGGTACATGTAATGCAGTACCACACTGCCCTCTATTGGTTATTTCATGTCCAGACAGTGTTCAGCCTTACAACTCCTTATTCTGATCCTCCAATCAGTCAAGACATGTGATAAAGTCAGAGTATAGAGTATAACATGCTTGCTTGACTAACAAATGAGGTTAAACATCAACTATAGTGCTGCTGCATGATGTCATTTGCATTTTATCCTGCAACGTGCCCGTCAGTACAGCAGCTAATCAGGTTATAAACTGTAATGTACAGAAGTGTCCTTGTGTGACGTGCTTTCTTCTCATGCATGGGCAGCTCTAAGTATGACCATGAACTAGAATGAATGCTTAATATGAAGTATTATATAATCCAAGTATAACACAACCAGAAGGAATAAATACTAATTCATCACCTCACTCACAGTGGGAGGCAACATAAGGTGTTTCTAATATAAGATAAAAAGTCACTAGTCACTAACTGAGAGCATTTCAGGGACTTAGATATTGTAACACTAAATAGTGCTGCAACAAACGATTGTTTTCACTATTGACAATTAATCTGTCGATTCTTTTCTTGATAAATTGTTTGGTCTATAAAATATCATAAGAGACCAAAACATATTAAGTTTACAAAGCTATGAAACAGAAAAGAAGCAAGCATTCACATACGGGAAGCTAAAATCACAGAATGTTTGGTATTTTTGCTTTAAAGATGATTGATAATCACAGTACTGGACATTTTTTTGCCAATCAACAGATCAGTTTATCATTGCAGCTCTCCTAGATCAACAATTGTGACGTTTTTAAGGTTTCATATTTACGCGTACCTTCGTTCCTCCACACTGCCTTATCTCCACTATTGCTAATGACTTACTACATTTCCCAGAAGGCCTTTGGACAACCCAGAGAACGGGGAATCCCTCTCTGTGCTGTATTTGTGCAGATGACAATGTGAAAAGTGAGCACAACGGGAGCAGTGTGACAATTCAAATGACTAAAAAGCTGCTAGGAGGAGGAGCTACAGGCCCCCACAATGCCCTAAGCTGCTGCTGCACTGCATGGGGGACAAAACACATCGTCGGTGTGCAGACAACCAGAACATCTTTTTGCATTGAAAGGCCTTCCTTTATTTGCAGTTAAAACACAGCACCAAACCATGTGCGCAGGAATGCTGGTAACATGCAGGCCGATTGCTTCTTTAAAGTCTTATTTTAAATGTTTCAGGATCAGTTTCATCTTTTAAAAACAAGAAATGTAAACTGCACAAATTTCAAAAGATACTAAAATTATCTAAAGACACAGCACGCTTGCTCTGCTCTCAGTTCAGGTGTTTATAAACCTGTCAAAGCTTGTCACGAGCTGATGACCATGACCATGTGAAGCTTATCCTGTTGGGAGGCCTGCAGAACACATGCAGACCTAATCAGAGTGTCATTAATCCAGGATGAAATGTCTCTGTGGCCAACTGTCAACATGACTAGAAATAGAAACTCCACAGAGAGAGAGACGACTCATCAAAGAGAAATTTCTCAGCAGCACTGAAGCTGTAAACGGGCACAAATAACAAAACACAAACAGTTTGAAATTGCAGACACTCCTGCTGGCGGGCTAAAAGTGGCCTCGGGACAGATAATGAAACGGACACTGCTGTCTTGAGACAAAAGCGTCTGGAGAGGTGTTTAGTCTGAATCTATTTTCTCTCTCAAAGTTGATGTGTAAGAGGAGATGAAACACCCCAGAATTAGAACAAGCAGTGAGTGAAAGCACTTGCAAATATTAAAGCCCGGACAACAATTACACTGCTGAACATACAAACAAGCACATGGAACACAAGGACATGCACGTGAACAGCAAGAGTGAATATCAAGTATGTATTTCTATCAGTGGTCTCCAAGCTTTTTATCTCACGTGTCCCCACAGCCCTGTCACATCAACTCAAGTAGATCTTCGTCAGCACAAACCATCACGTTCCAAATGTGATTTTGAACTGGATTTCATTTAACTCTATTGATTATATAAAAGAGTTTGGTCAAGTTTGCAAGATTTCAACCATTTATCCACTCATTTTATCCGTCTAATTCTCCCATTTATCACTTTTAACTGATTCTTTAAAGGTCCAGTGTGTAACATTCAGTAGAATATATTGGCAGAAATGGGATATAATATGAAAGGTATGATTAGTATATAATCACCTGTAAGTAAGAATGGTGATTTATCTACAGTGGGGCTGGCTCCTCTACTAAGATGTCCACCATGTTGAACCGCCATTTTTCTACAGTGGCCCAGAACGGACAAACCAAACACTGGCTCTTTTTCAAAAAATAGCTGAGTTTCATTTTCCAAGTCAACTGCAGAAGTATCCATGGCCTCCATGCTAACTGGTTGGAAAGCATTTCAATTACAGGATACAGTTCTTTCTTTTCCATTCATGACAAAATACTTCATACTACATTTTATGCAAACTGGACTTCAAACATGCAACCCTCATGCATTTTGCAGGCTCCCTCCCCTGCATGCTTTTAAATCATGTCCACAAGTGTTTTATTCCAAAGTCCCTGGACTCCCAGTGTGAACTATTACGCCCCGGCATCGTCACACAGAAAGAAAACAACTGTCAGTGTCAATTAAACTGAGAGTGAAAACCAACACAATGCAACAGTGTGTTAATTCACATCCACCCCCATCAGGACTCATTTACCAGATCATTCTAAACACCTCTATGAGAGAAGGAGCACCTCTGCAATCAATACACATCAACTCCAAATATTTGTAGCTGAAAAATCAATATTTGTAAACAGTGGGAAATCTGCTGTGGATATTCCATGTGTCATAGCTGCTGGTGATAAATAAGCTTTCATACTTCATCACCACGGATCGTGCATGTTGACAGAGCCAGATGTGTTGGGAATGAGAGCAGCCTCCACACACACACACACACACACACACACACACACACACCGGAGCCTCTCCTCTAATGGTTTCACTGGAAAGACTCTATCATGCAATCCCCCTTTTCTCCTCACTCTCTTTCCTCCCACATTCTCCAGCTTTTCTCCCCCCACCCCAACTTCCCTTTCATCCTCCACTCTCCCCCTCCACTCTCCCCCTCTTCTCCCTGTTGACTACACATCCACTCAGCAGCAGCAGTGGCAGCCTTTTAATGTGGGTCACAGGCGTGGTAAAACAGTGTGTTGCAGGGTACAGTGTGATCATCTTGGAACTGAGCAGATGACTCTTAAGTAACTGATGAAGAGGTTAGAGAATCCACCTGTTTTCTTCATCGTTTTTTCTTGCTTTGGGGAGAAAAAACTTAAGCTTTCTCTTACCTTGTGGACAAACACTAATTGCTCAAAAGCCTCCGATGTGACTGCAAACTGACCACTAACATCCGTCACTTTAATTAAGTTGATTATTGCAACAGACAAAATGTATCCAGGACATAATGTACAACATCTCCAAAGCGCACAGACCAGCATTAACCCAACATGCTGAAAACAGCGTTTACAAAGCTTTTCCTCAGCTTGCAAACATGCATCCATGCTGCACCTTGCCCTTGGCGCACCAAAGCAGCGCGTTTAGCTCCAATCTCAACTTCTCGGAATAAGTCTTTACCTTTCCACCCTTGGAGCATCTGCGATACGCGTTTGTGGCTCCTGCCGTTTGGTTCATGGCGAAAACTTCTGCGGAGAAAAAAAAAAAAAAAAAGCAATAAAGTAATGCAGTTTTTTTGAAAGTTGGAGTCACATTCAATCGGGCGAGCACAGAAAGCTGATGAGTGTTTGGTTTACCTGGTGCGCTCAGTGGCTGGTTCGCTCTCTCTCCTCGTTATCGGCAAGCAAAGAGCTTGTTTGGTATTCAGAGATGCATTAAATTGTCTAATGTTTTCCTAGATGTAGTCCAGAGGATTTAACGAGCTCTCCTGAATGTTGTCGCAGGCGCAGTGCTCCTGATTGTCAAAATGGAAATCCGACGAGAACTTTTCCACCAAATCCACTGGTAAAACTGAATCTTCTGACATGAACTCCTGTGAATTCACTCACTTCCAGGATGATTTTGAACACTAACCTCACTCTGGCGGAGCTGTGTGTTTGTGTGTGTGTGTGTGTGAGAGAGAGAGAGAGCGAGCGCAGCAATTGCGCAAGCGCATCCCATCTGACAGCTCGGCTACACGGGGTTGAAGAAGAGGAAGACTGTCAACACTGCTCGCCCACTCCAGAGCAGAAAACAGCAGTAGGGACTGCAAGGTGCACTGTAACCGTGTATCACGAGGCTCTACCTTCTGATCAAATAAAAAGACAATTTCAGGTTGACTAGTGTCATTCTGTCCATAGTAGTAAGAGAGTGACCTCTATCAAATCCAGATAAGCTGATTGACACCGACAATTACAAGTGACAAATTATTTCTGACAATTACAATCATTATCTCAACATGCGGAAGTGAATTTGTTTAGTTTCAATTATAGCATAATAAATGCATGTTACAAGGGTGAGCTTCCACTGAAGTGTGACAATTAGGTGGACAGGGCGATGCCGAGCGGTGATGAAGTTGCTGTCACTCACTTTCAGAAAGGTTTGCAGTGTGGAGGAGAATCATCAATTAGAGATTGCTGCACTGAGGGGTCAAATTAAAGGAAAAGTATGAATGCTCCCCTGCCTCTTGGCATAGATTCTCCACGTCTTGGTAACTCTACTGGAGGGATGAACCCCATTTTCTCAAGAGATACTCCCTCGTTTGGTGTTTTAATGATGGTGATAGAGAGCACTGTATTGCACAGCTCTCTAACATCTCCCCTGCAGTGGAGATCTTGTAGCCGTGAAGGCCAAATGTGATTCTCATTGTTTTCATATTCATCAAACCATGTAGTGGGCTCCCTTGTGTCCTGTATGAAAGCATCGTTTGTTATGTTCTTCTTTCAATTTGTCACCTGTATGGTTGTCAATTATATCATGACAGTATCTGTCCAACACTTTATTAAATGATCAAAAGACATGCTGTTATATATTCCTTCATGCAGCTCAGAACATAAATCATGCAGGCAACCCTCCAAACAAGCAATAACAATATACATCAATACAATAGACTTTTTTGTTGTAATACCACTTCAAACGGTCTCAGGGACGAGGTTGGTAGATGGATGGATGGGAGGATTTATGGTATTAGTTGCCTGAACCTTTACAAAAGTATAGCTGGATTGCCGCGCCTTCATCCTGTCGGTGAAATGGTCATAGGCCTATGTGTCATTTGAGGCCATGCAAATCCCCAGGCTGCTTTTTGGTAACTTAATGCACGTTTGTGTGGAAAATGGTTTCTGGGTCTACAATATGATAAAGCTGCCTTCTACAGTATGAGAGGAACCTCAGTACACAAAGTGCAAAAGCAATGTGTTTGGCCTGTGGCCCCCAAATTGTTCCAGCCATGCATGTAGATACAATGACTTGTTGTTAGACTTAATATAAACTGTTCTGGACATGCAGCAGTTTGCCTTTTATAATGTCCTTCAATTTTAGGAACCCCAGTAGCCCATTATAATCAATTTACACCAAAATCGCACAGCTGGCATCTGATAAATGGTTCTATTCTAAATTATTTATAATAAAAAAATAACTGTAGAGACTTTGGTGTAATCACTCCAAATATCTGGGCCTGAAAGGCTGTCATATCCCACCAAGATCCAGAAATGTGTCCTCAATGGGGAACAATGAGGTTTTTATTTCAAACACCATACATGCAGTCTAATTGAGTCCCGATGCCCTGTGAAAAGGACGTCCTGGGCTTTCAAGTGATGTAACACACATGGGGGTGTGTCCAACGGAGCAGATCTTGTGGCAGGAATTGCAGCAAACATATTTTTTGGCAGCAATGGATATATGTGATAACATTTTTCAAGATATATTCTTCATAAGTTTTTTATTCTTCTCATCTTCAACCATTTTCCATACTTTCAACAGAGCACTAAAGTGAGGCGGAAAAGATTTTGATCTGTGTGACTGCATGATCCAATGTCAAGTTGCACAAAGAAGTGGACTCTCCACACTATGCTGCATTTCTTTGATCGGGCTGTCACAAACACCACTGTGCCTTCTGGGAGAACTGCAAAGGACATGTTATAAAAACAAACCATTTTGAGACATCTTTGTGATATGTTCCTTACGTCCTAATTAATTAAATTATGTATTAAAAAAGGAGGAAACCATACCTCAGTCACTGTATGTCCTGTGAGCTGAAATGTTGACTTATGATCCAAACTCTATAAAATAACTTTATTGAACCAATCAGGACATTTGGAAAATTTATTTCTCAACACAATGTTAACATTTATTCATGTTTTGTCATTATTATAAAAAGAAAAACAGCCAAAATACACTATTCACATATACTTTTCACATGAGGTAGGTTATCTGAGATTGGATAGTCGGATATATTTTTAATGACGGGGGCATGAGCAGGTCAGCTTTCACCATCTTGCTCAAGGACACTTCAATAGGATATGTGGCTGCTGATAGACAGACTTTGACTGTTTCAGGGATTCTCAGGCCTCTATTCTTCTGGTTACAGGACGTATCGCTCCCCTTTAAATCAGCCATGCTGACAGGATCTATCAGCAGACCATCAGTCAGCGTGGAAGTCCGGTTGTCAGGATGTGGACAGTGCTGACCCACACTGACAGGTAAGGACATCTGAGACTCGGGTGCACCTTTACACTTGAGCCATGCTGTCACTTTCAGGGTTAACTCTGACCTATAGATCGTCTCAGAGGGAGGCCTCAGCTTCACATGCAAATTTCACCACCAGCTTGGGCTCAGATGGAGAGACACAAGCTAAAACGTTAACCAAATGATGTGTGAATTAAAGATTTGTGTCAAAGCTCAACTTGAAGGCACATGGAGGAGCTGCACTTTTGTTGTGATTCACTGAGTATTTATGCTCCATTTGGCACAACTGCTGACTTACAGTAGTTTGCCTGCTTGGTATTCCTTTTCACTACAGTGCACTAGAACCTCCATTACAGCCTTATTGATTGCAGGGCTTATGATGTTTTCCTGTCTGCAGATTTTAGTGTGAAATCAGCAGGTGCTGTGTGAAGTCATTGCATTTAATTAAGGGCCAATCTGTTCACAGAAACGTGCATGCATTGGAGTGTATTCCTATCGCAGACGCTTTAAGAGACTTTAAATTAAAATAACCCTATAGAATAGATTCACTGTGCTCAAATTGCAAATCTAGAAAGCAAAAAGAACAATAGTGTGCTCAAAAGGTAAATGGTCCTCCTGAAAATGCCTGAAGTATTATGGGGTTGAAAACGTTAATCTTCGGGCACTCACGGGTCGGAACAGTGCTCAAGTTAGAGTAAAAAGCATTTATTGGCTTGTCCAGAGGGCAGATTGAATGGCCTGACATGCATTCAATCAGCATTCAAAGAAGATTGTTGGAAGTTTAAAGTAAAAGTGCAGCTTTCAAGGTGTTTTTGAGACTGAACCTGAAATGAATGTTAAACGGTGTACACTTACATTCAAAGTCAATGGAGAAACGCAAGTGGTGAACTGAAAGTGTTTAAATTGACGGGAAACAATTACAATCATCGTTTAATTGTAGGGCTCGACTTCATGAATGTACAGGTACCAGAAACTGGAAGAAAAGGGCAGAGAAAAATGGAGTTCATGGTAATTATGTGGTCATTCTGGATGCTGAATAGTGCTCTGGGCTGCACGAATGTGAACATGATGGTCAGTAGTTCTTTTATAATTGTACATACAAGTTTTTATACATTATGTTTACTTTGTTTCAAACCCTGCCTCCTGACAGAACATGGATCAACTTTTTTGGCATGTGGGCCTATGTGCCGCGTTGTTGAGTCTCACCAATGGTCACTAATAACACCCTTCTCCACAAAGATTCACAGAGACGTTTCCATGTATCTTTGCAGAAGCATAATTCTTGATCCAGAGCTCTCACACCAGTGCATACAACAGTGGTGAGTGTCTTAAAACGTTAAATTTTGTCTTAAGTCAATAGTTAGGTGTCAATTTGAACAGTGAAGCAGGTTTTGCTTGCTGTACTCATTTGTTCTGTTCATATAGGCCATTACAAGATCCCTTTTTAATGTGCTTTTAAAACAAGAGATGGGGACAATATACAGAGTCCAAGGTTTATCTGAAGCTAATTTGAGGCTTCAGCAATCTGACTTAAACTAATCAAGTGGATATCTTCCAAAGTTACTGTGTTTTTCGTGATAATAATAAGAGAGCAACTCACTTGATTTAATAAAGTCAGACTTGAGTTACAGATGTGTATTGTTTAGACAGATGTGAAAAAAGTTTGTACAGTTGGTACATTGGTGGCAAATACACTACACTGTTCAAAATTGTGCAAATCAAACAGAGCGAAAACTCACTTCTCTTTGAGTCTTAAGTGTTTTTCATCAACACTCAACTTCTCATCATCTGTAGTTCACCGAATCAGGTTTCTAAGGCTGAGAAACAACATCATTCATATCCTGCAGCTACATAGCTGATAAAAAACTTCACCGCAACTTGCTTTAGCCACTGGAGAAGCTACTAGTTTTCACACATGAATCAACTTTAAATCAAAAGATTGTGCACTGGTGAGGGAAAACAAGCCTCTCTTTAGGAATAAACAACACATTTCACATCAGTCGAAAGCTACCTTTTCAGTATAGATTTAGTTTATGGCGCTGCTGCATTCACCCAGATGTGTTCTGTAGAGACTGAAAAAGCATTTCAGATCCAACAACCAACCCAACATTCCACAAAAGCTCTTGAGCGGTAAATATTAACATTCAGAAAACTTTCAAATTCCAAGAGGTAAAATTCACTGTGTGGCTTTAATAAAATGGATTGGGGGGGGGGGTGTCATACAGGAATTCTTTCTTCAAAGCCTCTGAATAAACATGGTACAGATTATCTTCATCTGATAACCTTTCGGTATGCAGGTCCTCAGATATTTATGTAAGCGCTCCTCACTCTTACTGTATATTGTGAATGTTAATGTGTGGAGCTGCTTTCTGTGTTG